CTATCGGTATTTCAGAACATGAGACACGAAGTCCCATAAGATGATAGGTCTATCCTATACCTAGTCGGTGGTGTCATTCAATTTTCAAAGTCCTACTAGCTCTCATATCTTTACGAAATATTCAATGTTTCTTTCGTTTTAAAATCATTAAATTTGTCATTAATTAATCATATAATTATACGAGATACATACATATATACCTTGACTTTGATGCGTCATGCCACCGTAGGATGTCGCGAAAGTAACGTGCGATAAACCTGTTAAAAATAGCAATAAACTTAGCAAATAATCCGTTGAAACACTTTCAAATATTACAGTGTTGCACAGATAATTGAAAATGAACATATTATGTTGTCATATAAAATTTCTATATAAATAAAATAATTATGAATTATATATGATTACAAATTAATATATTTGTATTGTCATTCTAAATTTAAAAAATCAAATAGTAACAATTGTACATAATTATGTTACTTTGACGTATACATATATTAAACCGTCACTAAATTGTAAATTTATATAAACTACTTTGCTTCGAAAGATTTTATCTACGTTAATATATATATAATAGTTGTATTTTCAATATTTTTGCATAGTATTAAATATAAATAATGACATTTTCTACACGAATATAAAAAACTGGACTGTCAACGAGTTTATTAGAATGTATATATATGTTTATTGGTAATGATTCATGAATATATAGATTTTGTGTGTATAGAATTCACGATGAAATGTATTGGTAAAAGATTAAAATAAGTAAACAGTTTTGTATGTATTACATATATACTGATTTTAAGAACAAATATGAATATATTACAAAAATGATTTTTTTACGCATACATAATGACTATAGATGATCATGCTTATAAAACACAACAAATTCACAATCGATATAACTTAAAATTTTACCTTTATTTGATATACAGTTAAGTTTATTTTTATACTTTCTGTGATTATCTCTACGAACAGCATGAATGTCTGTTTTGTTGACGTAAGATAAGGTGTTAAAACGTGTAATTGAAAACTAATACTATGATCTGAGAGGAAATATATACAACAATAGTTTACGTAATAAGATCCATCTTTCATCTCGAGTATACATCAGTAATATATCTTATGTACAAGAATGGTGCAAATACATATGCTTAAACGTTTTATACTTCACAACACCTCGATCGTAACGGATAAAAACTAAAATCATTTGAAATTCAAGTATTTAACATACCTTTCCGAGGTTTCAGAATGATTAGTAATTTCCCAGAAGTTTTTCACGAGATCTGATGTGTCTATACTGCTTATGTATGTATACATAAATGTGCATACATCGTTTGGCCAGATAATCTTCAAGAAAACATGAATGCCTCTTATCAGTTCACGCCAAATGTCTCTATCGCAGAGACAGTGATTACTAATTTTTAATTCACACGACCTGAGTACGAAGCTTTAAGTCCAAGATGGTGATCCTGTTGATCACCAAAAACAGCAAATACTAAAAACTTACAAAGACACGACTAATTTTCAAGTATATAAATAGAAATTCGATCGATACGAAAATATCTAAAAATACAATTCGCTCCCATTATTTGGTACGTTTCGAACTTGATTACGGCAATCGTGGGAACGAATCTGGGAAACCCAATCGCAACAAGACGGTTTCGTCTACGAACGCCCCACGATTCAACGTTGCAAGAAATCCCATGAGTAACAATCGCTTTGCTTTGCACACATATGCATGCACGATCATCGTTGCAACACGCAAATTAACCTGATGAGATCGTGTGTTCGACGAGCAGAATTTCCAGTTGCGGGCGAAGAAAGAAAGATGCAGAGTGGGGTTGCACGGAATTTCGCACAGCTCGGTCGCTTCTCGGTGTGTCGCGTACTCGTCGACAGTCTGTCACTGCGACGTGACCAGCCTAGAGCAGATGATATCCGTCTCGATTCTCGATGCGGTCCCGTCGACGGTCTCGTTTCCATTGATTATAACCCCGTGCCTCTTATCGTGTTTGGCGCGTAAAACGGTGGAATCGACGGGCTCTTTCGTGCGGGGCGTGGACTTTTCACCGGGCCCAAAAGGAGTTACTTTTTTTTTTTTAATCAATTCGAGTAGTGACGTATCCCGAGAGGGGCCACGAAGTTATCCTCCTCCGGGCGAGGTATCGGCGACAGTCACGTCCTTCGTGAAACTCGTCGCACGTCACGAAGCAGTGACGTAGAGTTGCGAAACGTACGGGTATACACGGTATTACTAGTGGAAGACCCCACGGATGTTACGTTTACGTGTATCTGTCTTTTAAGACACGTAACTGTCGTCGTTGGGCTGTGTCGTTGTATTTTCTCCGTTAAGTGTCCGAATGTTTCTTTGTTTTTTTTACGGAGAACATGAGCGCCCAGGAGATCAAGGCCTAAAGATTCCGGTTGCGGCCTTCGGGAGACGCGAGAACCCGTACTATCCGTGACACAGTGTCGTAGAATTACGATGAGATCGTTGATGTGTGTATCCTGAGCAAGTATTCAGATTCCGAAAGATAGATTATATTTCGTGCAAAGGTCTCGTGCGGTATGCGATATCGAATCGGTAATCGTGAAGGTTTTGTGAAGGATTAATAAGCACCTGTTCCTCGAGCAGCGACGAAGAAAATTCATACGAGGAGACGCCATGTTGTTATAGCTCGGTGGTGATCAAACGCTGGCAAAGTGACTGCGGACAGCAGAAACGATGATTTGCCCGAGGTAATTTCTTTTGTTTGTTGCTTCATTTGTGCATCGATGAACGATAGCAATAATTGTCATATTCTTTATCTTTTTTTTTGTTTATCAATTGGTGCATCAAATTTTCCTCGTCATTGTCATCACCATCTGTGTTATCATACGCATCATCGTCTGGTAGTATCATCTTCATAGTGACTTTCGATAGAATTCTTAAGCGACGATGATTTCCAGTTTCTTTCCAGTTCAGAATAGCTGTAGTATCCCGGAATTGCGTAAATTTCATGATATGCGGATGAACTTTGGCCTTTGAGAGTACGATTAACACGCTACAAAAGATGCTCCAAATAAAATGGTAGGGTCAACCAAGCGAAAAATAATACTAGTCCATTTTATCTTGGCTGTGATATATAATAAAGTTGTTGTAATAAATGGTCGGTAGAATAGACCGGATTTGTCGTTGAATATTTGAAAAAAAAATTCAAACATAAGCGATTTTTCGATTGTTGGAAAGCTTAGATCAACGTATTGATGACATGAGTCATGAACCGCTACGCGACTCAACCTAAATTTGTGACTTTCTAAAGACATTTTTCGACTTAAACGATGTTAATGAGTTTTTAGAATTTCCACGAGAAATGATTTACTGAAAGCAGGTAATTTCTTGAGCCAATAATTTTGTTTTAATGGGTATGAAATCAGAGAAGTAGTTTCTGCAAAGAAATAATTGTTATATATATGTATGTAATCAATAATGAATAAAAATGTAGATGTTTCATTTTATGGGTGTCTAGTAATTTTATTTTTAATAATTTCAGGTAGATTAAATAAAAATCCACTAAATTGTTCCCTGTTTACGCCATCGTGTCATGTGAATGCCATATGCAAAATACACGAAACGATACGCGACGTGTCCTAGAATTCTCAAGTATGCACTACACACAATACAAGGGAAAACACAGTACATTAAATGTTAATGAGAAGATTGACCTGTAAGGTCAAATTACAGTGTCTCGATCTAAATTTCGATCAAATTTGTATACGGTATCGAATATGTTAGAAAGCTACTTTAACGTCAGACTATATATGATAATCAACTCTCACACGATAAAATGGTTTGTTCACGCGGTATTATTTTTTTCAAATATTTCTCTACAAAATTAATACTAATTTGGAGTATTCATAATTCACACTCATGCTAACATTTAGCGTGTCGTGTAATATATCGAAACCACTTTAGCATAGAAGTCAGCACTTGAAAACAATAAAATTAAGTCTTGCTCCATGAGGTTATAAAATTAGTAGACTACGGATTTTATGCATTCAAAACAAAGACTTTAAACAAACTTGGTGGTAATTGTATATTATTATCAACAAAATAAGACATCTAGTACAGAAAATAAATTTTTTATTTCATTTTCATATTCATAGATTAATGTCTACAATTGCGAATTTGCATAAACATCCGCAGTCTACAAATTTGCAGTATAATTTGAAACGTGACCAACAGCCTCTATTAACGAAATACATACATTTTCAATGATTTATGATTTTAAAAATAAAATAAAGCGTGTCCGGCTACGTACAGCCTTTTTCACTGTGGCAGTAAATGTGTTAATATTGTTGTCCCCCCCTCGAGTGATAACCTGGCTACGCCCATGCCCTTGATAGCTACATTTACTGATAAAAAATTAATCGAAATGAGTTTCCTCGAAATACTACGAAAATCGAAAATACTACGAATCTAATACTATGGATTCAGGCATTGTCATCTGCATGACTGCCTGAACGGTCGGTATCGAGATTAATTGCGACGTTTGACAAGAGAACCATTAACGATCAGAAGCTACCAGTGAAATGAAAAGTAGCCACCGGAAATACCTCTTGTGAAAGTAAACACGTACAGGTTGCATGAACGCAAATCTTATGATTATAATGATGTTAAAGCAATGCTAACAAGAGCTCGCAAGTTACCATTTTTTTCTGTTAACACTAGAACTACGAAAGCAGTCCAAATGACTCTAGTTTATAAACTCTTATAAAAATTATTAAAATAATAATTACGGCATATTTTCCGAGATTCTTCGCAATTTTTGTTGCAATATAGACCTGATGAAGAAGTCCATTAATTTATCAAATTGCATATTCTCAACCAGTCCCTTTTACTAACGTGAGAGAAATAGACACATGTTCACCTTCGGTAGTTCTAGTGTTAAATCTGTCCTCAAAGTGGGTTTCGCATATATTACCGAACGTTGTACGAATCATCGATCTAACAAATCATGATTACCATCGATTCACGAAATGCAAAATTTCGCGCTACGAAACGCTTTTGTTCGTCGTGCAGAGCACGGGTATGGTGACATTGGTGCAGCAGCATCAGCAAGCCGTGCCGGAGGGGAACCTGTACCAAAAGGAGCAGGAGGAACCAAATTGTACAATCGCCATCCAGAGCCACGATACCGAAAATCATCGTCACAGTGACGAGATCGTACAGTCTCTGAACAACACCGCGGTCGTTGTCTCGGCGAATGACAGTATTGCTAGTTCCTGTACGCAGTGCAGTGACGTAGAGGATGACGACGAAGAAGAAGCGACGGATGCAGAGGAGGGCGATTGGATACCGGATTTACCCTTGCCGGCTGTGTTACAACAGCACCAACAAGTGAGCACCGCTGATGGGAACGTGGTGCTACCGAATGCCGACACCTCGAGCTTCGGTGATGTGCGCGTGAAGAACTCGAGTAACGTGCACCTTGGTAACAAAACCTTTTACAAGGGCCCGGTGACGATAAAGCAGTTTGTTTACACCAACCCGGTTTCGGTGCAGGAGAACGAATCGGTTAGAAGCGACGACAGTCGGGTCTCCAATGCTGATGCGTCGAAAGCATCCGTCAAGCTTACATTGTTTCAAAAAGGTAATTATATAGGAAGTTTTATTGTCTTACTGAACTTTATTAAAATCTTTATTGTAGTGTATTTTCCAAGTTAAGGGATGCTATAAATGCATAAACATCCGCAGTCTAGTCATTATTTTTCTTGTCGTGACACTGTATGACAATGTAAACTAACGTCACGACGACAAAAGTCATAACATTTCGTATCATGACTATGACCGTAAAAGTCACGTGAAAACGTACCTTTACCCCATTCAACGTTAAGGCGAATTCAGTGGCGGGCACATCTAAAGAATCGAAAAATAAGACGTTGCTATGATATAGAATGTAGAACATATTAATAGCAGTATTTTACTTGGTATTTATTCAGATTTATGTGTTGCCCTTTTAAAATTTTCGCTGTCTGGATTTCTAAGGGGAGTAATTGTATTGTAAAGCTGAGGTATTCAGCCTACCATTGAAAGATGTCACCAGGTATCGTGAACGCGAATGCCTTGAGGTGATAGAAATCGTTACCCCATTTCACTGAATGAGTAAACCTATCTTATCAAACCTAAAAATTCACCGTTATGTGAAAAGAAAGATTCGACTTCCTGTTCGCGCTACATTTACTTTCACTAATATACATATAGATACTGCAATTATCTAATTAGTCTAGAATCCGTAAATATATGACACTTAGGTATAATGGTAGTCCATTTATCACTATTATTATAAGTGTTCTGTATTCACGAGTTCTAATCTAATTATTGTTATTATTCTACATTATTTTCCAAGAAATATGTAGATACATAAAATATGAGATAAAAGTGATAATATATCGTTAACAATGGAAGAAAGTTTTATATTACGTAAGGATTGATAAATTTGGTAGCAGTACACGTATATCATATACGGTGTATGGTGTAGGTATGTATTTCGATCAAAGATCGAAACATTATAACTGCAAATAGTGAACCTGAAGGTTTTGTCAGTTCATTTTTACGTTGTATAATATTCATTTACTAAATATTTTGTAGTTCTTTTTTTTAATACATTTCATCAATGTCGATTACAATATGCGTTTTACTAAAATTATGATCGTATTTGGAATTTGTAAAACAAATACATATAACACGATACCCGCGTAAATCCGTAGCGATTAAGAAGAAATCAATATCACAGATCTTATCAATCGTATTTCAACAGATTACAGAATTTCAGTTGAGATATTTTATCTAAATCGGTTATTATTGCGTATTGCGAGCGCAGAATTTGAGATTTTGGTAATTAATCTTCTTTTATCAGATCCAAGAGCATCTGCAGTAACTGAATTTTTATTTCTCGATTGTTGTTCAATGATGTCGATAAAAGTCTAGAGGAAGTAACGATAGATAACATCCTGTTTAAAATCTTCGCGACGATGATAGATAAAGAAATTATGTGACATGTTTAGTACTCCGCCGTGGTGGATCCAGCTAGATTGACGGTGCAAAAGATTCTAAAAAATTTTATCTGCCGTTTGCTTATCCTTGCTCTAAAAATCTTTTTTTCGACACAGTAATAAAATGGTTGACATTATTGATTTCTGTGTTAGTTGCCATTATGTCAGAATAACCCGTACGTATTTCATGACAATTACAATAATATTTAATGTATACATTCATTAATCTATTAAATCACCATCTTAATATATAAAAAGTTTAAAACATTTATTACATACTCTACATTTGTCGAGTAATTAAAGAATAGTAGTAAATTTTCTAGAACTTTGAAAACGTTTTATATAGTTTTACGTAAACATTTTAATATTTACACGTATTTTTATTCTGACATAGATTGGCGGAACTTCGCGTGCTATAAACGTGACACAATAATTGATCTCCACGAGACACAGGATAGTCAACACGGATATAAAAAATATTCAAGGAAGGGTTAATATATTTTTATATAAGTACGAGAAATTGTACTAGTCTCCTAAGTTTTCATAATTATATTCGAGGCAAAGGGTTATTTTCTATTTGATAGCTTGTTACTTATCCCTGAAATATTGTAAAGTAATTCTTTTGTATTATTTTAGTACTAACATGGTTATGGAGTTGGAAGTGTGCAACATTTCTATGTGTACTGGCCTTAATTGTTGTAATCGCGGTGGCAATCGCTTCTGTGCAGATCGTGAGTAATATTACAACTCCAACGGAACCACTTTTCCCTCAAATACCAGATTCCGGGCAAAATGGTAATTATGCATTTGTATTTCTTAATCCATAGATTATTATTTTTCGTTCCGAGTTTTCATCACAATCAATTTTTATGTTTAGGTACGATAGTGAAGAATGTTCGATTCATTGAACGAAATGAATGGGGTGCTCAACCACCGTCAGAGCCACTGACAAAGATGAAACTTCCGGTACCGTACGTGATTATTAGTCACACGGCAACTGAAATTTGCTCGACTCAATCCGAGTGTACTTTACACGTACGATTCGCACAAACCTTCCATATCGAGTCTCGAGGATGGTCGGACATTGCTTACAACTTCTTAGTTGGCGGGGATGGATACGTGTATGTCGGTCGAAGTTGGGATTACATGGGTGCCCATGCCTTTGGTTTCAATAATATCAGCATTGGCATTTCATTCATCGGTACATTTAACACCGTCATACCACGCGAAAGTCAACTATTTGTTGCTAAACGACTTATCGAATTGGGTGTAGATAAAGGCAAAATTGCGTCTGATTATAAATTACTAGGACACCGACAAATCTCTAGGACCTTAAGCCCGGGCGATGCTTTGTACAAAGTCATTCAGACTTGGCCGCACTGGACGGAAATGCCATGAAAAAACCTTCGTGCTTGTGATATACATATATATTATCAATGTATACCATATTTACTTAATCGTTTTTTATTTCACCATTCGAATCTTGTGACACTCTTTGAAATCTACATGAACAATGCAACGCTTATTTAATATTTACACTTTTTGTATGTAATAGTCGACGTACTTTGTTTAATGAATGAAGTTACAAAATTATTTGTGGTGTTACAGGAATGTATTTACTGTAATGTAGATGCGAAAGAATCTTGACAAAATTTACGATATAAACGGTTACAGGGATCTCTTTTGTAGGTTAGTTAAACTACATCGTGTGAAAATTCCACATTCTCGACTGCAAATGTAAGGTATAAATATTTTCATAAGATATTAATGATTATTGTACATTATATTTTGTAAAATATAATAATTTTATATGGACACCAATCAACAATATTGTATATATTGTAAAAGCACAGAATAATATAAGATACAAAAAGACATGTAAGTACATAACTTCATTTTCTACATATAATATAAACTGTTTCCAATTTTTTTTGAAGAAATACAATTTTGTTGCGTATGGCAAACGCAAACAATTCGTACGTAAGTAAAGTTATTTTGCAACATATTTCTATATTACAATTAGATACTTATGCGGTACAGGGAGTTGGCACTCCCACGTTAACAAATTGCACAGTGTTTTTGGCGCCGCCACAGTTAATCTGCGGAAGTAGGATAACTAAACTGCAATATGGCGTACTGTGGTGGGTGTTTCAATTAAAAAATGAATACTTAAAAAGTTAGTCTGACAAACATTTTCTCGTGATTTTTCGTATTGTCCAAATATACAGAGAAAATATGAAAAATCTCTTTGTTTTTTACATATTTTCTCAATGAAATCAGACAATGAGATATCACGAGAAAATTTTCACCAAAGATATAAGAAAATGTGTTGTATATTGGAAACATCAATGGGTTGCGAAAAATTTTATTGTATAATTAAGGAAATTTATAAAAGGTGTAAGAAAAAATTTCATACCATTTGTGTGGGATACTAGATGAATGTATTGTATAAAATAACACAAATTTTCTTATTTCCCATAAGAAATGTATAAAACAAAGGACTTTGCTTATTTTTAATAATTTTTATTAGGTATTCGTAAATTTCTACTGTAAGCACTCATAAAGTTAGTTTTGAACAGTTTATTAGTCCAACAGTTACGATTTATTGGAAAAGGTTAATACTACATTTCAAACAATTGTAAAATCAACAATTTAAAAAACTTTCAAACTGCCTTTACGATGAATGATTTCCTCGTGATCTTACATCGCATCAGGGCTGAACCATAGACATATATAATAGACTGCGGGGTCTTATGGTAGGGATAAAATCGACTCTAGAAAGAGAGGACAATAACTGGAGTAACTTTCTTCCCTTTCTAATGGGGCTGTTGGTGGGGGATTCTCCTACAGCTGTGTGGAGGCATCACATGCGAGCAGCATTCCTTCTCCTCATCGCCCTTCAGTCGCTTTTTCCCCTCCCACTGCGATGTGCGAGCAAGATAGGAGTTACTCCAGCGTTAGTTCTTTCCTTCGGTCTCGTTTCATCCCTACCATAAGACCGCGCAGTCTATATATGACTATGGCAACTATACTGAACTATACCAAAGATTACATAGATGTGTGCGTCAGCATTTCAAAGAATAGCATCAACGCCTCCTGCGGTGTGTTCTACAAGCTTAGAAATATCTTCGGATTTTGTGACTGCTCAGGACCTAATATTATTAAAGGAAAGAAATATATGACGTACTTAAGGATCAAGGATTCTCACAGATTTTTTAATAATTTTCCGTACTGTATGTCAACATGATATTGTCGTTAATGAAACGAATTGATTACGAATCTACCGTTTCGAAGATAGCCATTTTGGCGGGTGACGTGTTTGCACGCCGAGTATTGACAGCCATAACATAAACGAGCGAAGTTGTACGTAATATGGTGATAATTGGTTTTCCGTCGCACAGGATGCAAGGAATGTGGTAGCCGGCCACTTGGATGAAAAAATATTGTCACAGTTTGTTTGTAATGGTGAGATATATTAATGAATTTGTATACCGCCGGATGGTAAACAGAGAAAAGGCCGCGTATAATTTTCAGCTGCGCTAGGGGGGGCAATGCACCATGGGAACAATTTGCGACAGGCGCATGCGCAGATCAGTTTACAGTTGGAGCTTGGAAGAAAATGGCGTCAGCTAAGTTTCTGGAGGAAGCTCTGAGCACGGACGTCGATGAATCCGCGGTGAACGCGATAGTGGGCTCCCTTGAAACGCAATTGGTAACGTCGACGCCGGCTGTCTCTGGTCATCAAGTAAGTTCTGCGTCGATCAGCCAGCAGAATCATCAGGTGAACAGTGGTATTTCGAACGGGGGCACCATCACCGCGGTACCGCCACAGAAACATGGGGTTTCGAACGGCGGCGGTGCTACTACAGTGAACAGTCTGATGACTCAAGAAGTCACGAAGTCCATTACCACGAACACTCTTCTGCCAGTAAACGTGGTTACCTCAAACACAGTGGCGCCACAGGTTACTACACAACAGCAGCAGCAGCAGCAGCAACAGCATACACAATCAGCAGTCCCCCCTGCTGCTTATATCAATCAAGTTACTACAAATCAGGTGACCAGTAATCAAACAGCACACATACCGAGCCTTACTAAAACGCACGAGCCTGTCAAGATTATTTATCCGACCGTTGGCCAAGTAATAGCGGCCACGGGGGTCGCGAATATCAATAATAAACTTTCTTTTCCTGCGCAAACTGTCGGACAGCTAGCCAATGGTACTTTGGGGATAACATCTCAGGCAGTGTTACAGACAACATCGAACGTTGTCACAAATGTTAGCTCTGTTAGTGAAACAGGTAGTCAAACGGTGGCCAGTGTGAATAAGCCGACAGGTACAGCTTTAGTGATAAAGACTAGTGTAGCACCCAGTGGCATGGTTTCTGTTCCAATGTCTGTTCCTGTTTCTGTGGCTGGCAATGCTGTCAGCACAGCACTACAGGGTAAAGCTGGAGTTACACCCACGATAGTACCCAGCAATGTGCAAATTCTTAATGTGAATGCAATGCGTCCTGGCACTCCGGTGGCAGGACAGCAGGCAGGAAAACAAGTTGCATCCAGAGTAGTAATTGGCCAGCATATGATTGGAACAAGACCTGGAGCTCCAGGGGTAAGATATTAATAGTTTATAAACAGATGTATTTATATACATATATAAATGTTACTAATATATGTACACATACATCTAGAGGTTATATTATTAATATGTTTAGTTATTTGATTCAATTAGTTGATTTTAATGTTTTATATTCTATTAAAGTATAATGATATATACTATTGAAATTATTATTTTTCCATTGGTATTTATAACATTGTATGTGTCAATATAATATATGCATTTTTCTTTTAAACCTAATACACTTTTAAAAATTTTTAGATAACATTGCAAACATTACATGGTCTTCAACCTGGGACTCAGGGGCATATACTGCTAAAAACAGAAACTGGACAGTATCAGCTAATAAGGGTAGGACCACCTCCAACTGCAGGTACTCCTGCTGGTGCAGCAGTTACACCAAATAGTATAGCAGGAAATGCAGTGGTTGCTGCACCATCTCCAGGCACTACCTATCGCTTAGCCTCAGTGCCGGCTGTAAGTAGGCTGAACACACAGTTCACTGGCCCACCACTGACCACCTTAAGAAAAACGGTTCAGGTGACGCATTCTTATACCTCTTACAAGACTCGATGTAGTGCTGTAGTAGACTTTAGTTTGTGACATTAGTTGGAATGGTGTTATTGGTAAGGCTATGTATTTTGTTATATTCTTTTTAGTCTATATTAATTTTGGTTTAATTGAATTTTCTTGTAATAGATTTTTTTTGCATTCAATTTCTTTCTGATTTTAAAAAACTCTTAATGCTTACTGCACATATCATTTTGATATATGCAAAACAAAAATTGTTAGTAGAGATTTCATAAAAACTTTCATACTTGATACTAAACTTTCAGTTGCCATGAATGAATGAAAGGTTTTCTGTAGTATACAAAAAGTTTTGTTGTCGTAATGGCTTATTTGCTGGGATGCCTTTTTACTGTAGAATTTCTAAGTTTTTTCCAAAGTTCAATTGTTTTATTAAAATTGATGACTATTATGTATACACTTATTGCATGTTACATTGGTTAAGGGTGTCATAGAAAAATATCTTGAAAAAAAAATTGAGTTTGTATGCATATAACTTAAAATAATGAAACTTCTTTCATGTATCCCAAAAATGGAAAATTTAAGTATTGTAGTACATTGGAAGTTATCATAAAAATCTATACAGATTTCTACATTATTTAGTCAGAAAAAATTAATTAAAATAGTCTGGAATCAAATTCAAAAGAATATCATTTTCATGTTCTAATCTTCTACTAAGTTCTCATACGTGTAGTATTTTAATAATGTAATGTATAACTTATTACTATTCTATGGAATTTCTCTTCAATAAATATATAAAATGCTTCGTAAAAATAAAAGTAAATTGTACACATATCTTTTAATAACAAAAAATTAAGCAGTACTTTTAAAATATAAAGTATTTCGAGTCTGTACAAGGTACAAGTGCGTCTTTACTGTGTAGCATAATTATCTATCAATAATATCATCATGATTATTTGTTTTAAGATACTGAAATTGGTAAAAAAATAGTTAGTATTCAAATTCTTTTGTTTGACAAGTCTGAAGTTCAGCATGCATATAGACTATATGTAGATTACATCTTAATAGCGGGAACATAGTATTGGAAAAAAGTAGACAATATATGATCCGAGTATCTCTATAAAAATGAAAAAAATGCATGTGGGAAATTTATTACTACATTTAGTCGTGTTTGTTTAATACTGAGCTTCAGAACAGTAAGCAATATAATCTTCTTTGGTTTTAAGTTAAGCTTGTGATAGTTGTTTTATTA